ATTATCAAAGGGTGACTACCATAAATGGAACTGAGAGATGAATAAGACCAATAGGTAAAGGTAACTTGAAAAAATGAAATATATGACCTTGGGGAACAGGACCAGGGTGGGGGGAAAACAAACAAACTCTCCGCCATCCAGTGGATTCCAACTCATAGTGACCCCTCCCTAGGGTTCTGAGGCAGTATCACTACAGAAGTAAATTGCCCAGTCTTTCTTCCAAGGAGTGGCTGGTGGCTCTGAACGGCCAGCCTTCTGGTTAGCAGTCAAATGCCTTAGGCACTATGCCATCAGAGCTATTGGTTTTTACTTTATATAGTTCTATAATGTCTGCAGGTTCACAATAAATTTGACTTTAAAAAATTTTAGAATGAAAGAGGGGAAAAGGAAGAAAAGGGAAAAGAAAGAAAAATATGCTAACAATAAAACCAGCGTCTGAGGCATCTGACCGCTAACCAGATGGTCAGTACTCTGAGGCTGCTCTGAGGAAGGAATATGGGTAAATCTACTTGCACAAAAATTTACCACCTCAGAAAGCCAATGGGGGTTCCATGAATCAGAATGACTTGATGGCAGTGAGTTTGGTTTGGTTTTAGTATGAGAATCAACAGTTTGCTGTTGGTCAAAGTACAAATAACATTAAAATGAATCCAAAAAGCACCATTCAATTTTCTCATATCACAAGATCCATCTGAATGCAGACTTCTGAGTAAATAACTACTAAGTACTGAACTGAGCTGTGAAAATATTCTTAGAAATGAAACCAAATACTAGCTCAGATCTTACTGCCTTATTCTTAAATATTTTTGTTAAATTAATATATATATACATATATATATATTTTTGCCCAGGCAATATTAATGGCAATGAAAGAGAGAGTCATTCTTTCTAGGTCATTGAGTTGTAAAGATTTAATTCAGTTTGTCATTTGACATTTATGTTTGACACTTGACCCTTTGGGGGAAAAAAATTCTCGTTGACAAATCTTTTACTGACATTTTGGTTTCCATCTCTAAAGAATTGCAAAACCTATAACAAGAAAATATTGGTTTCATTTTCTGAATCAATCATTCATCTCTCACTAGCAATAAATGGTACCTTTATCAGACTACATGTCACACATACACACACACAAACAGAATTGTCATACTTATACTTTGTTAATTCTTTTGAGATTTCATTTATAAATTGAGGAGAAACTACATGTTCATAGCTATAATCTTCACATCCACAAACATTTTATATATTTTTTATTCAAATTACCATAGAGAAAATTCTTATCACTTATTCTATAGAGTTAATATCTATTTCTTAAGTTTTCACCTGTCAGCTTTTTTCTTTTTCTACTACACATGAAGTCTTATTTCCATTATACTTCACTGGATATTGCTAATGTATTTAATTTGTATTTTACTTGTTTTTAGCTCACTTACTGAACTATTAAGTCTTATAAAATGTCATCATCTTCAACTTATCTCCAAAAAAATATTTACAGATGGAATCCTCCCTAAATCATTTTATGATTTTTTATGTTTTTTTTTTTTTTAAATTTTTTGATACCCAAACCAGGCATCACTCAAAAGGAAAACTACAGACCAATATCCTTCATGAATATAGATGCAAAAATCTTCAACAAAATCCTAGCCAATAGACTCCAACAACATATCAAGAAAATCAT